CAGCCCCCCCCACAACCCCCTCCACACACAGCCCCCCCCCACACCCCCCCACACCCCCCCACACACACACGCACCCCACACACACACCCCCACACACAGACACCCCCACACACACACAGCCCCCCCCACACCCCCCACACACACCCACACACACACACAGACACAGACACCCCCCCCCCCCCCACACACAGCCCCCCCACACCCCCCCACAAACACACACACCCCCACACACACCCCCACACACACACAGACACAGACACCCCCACACACACACACACCCACACACACACAGCCCCCCCCCACCCCCCACACACAGACTCCCCACACACCCACACGCACCCCACACACACACACACACACATACACACACCCCCCACATCCTCCCACACACACCCCCCCACCCACACCCACTGTGTCTCACACTCCCCCAGCACAGACCCACACACACATACACCCCCACACCTCCCACACCGACACCCACACACACCCACACACACATACACCCCCACACCTCCCACACCGACACCCACACACACACCCACACACCCACACACCCACACACCCACTGTGTCTCACACTCCCCCAACACACTCTCTGTCTCTCCCCCCCCACACTCTCTCACACTCCCCCAGTACACCCACTGCCTCCCACACTTTCCCAACACACCCACTGTCTCTCTCACACTCCCTAATACACACTCTCTCTCTCTCTCTCTCTCACACACACAGTCGCACACTCCCCCAGCACACACTCTGTCACTCTCTCTCACACTCCCCCACTACACACTGTCCCTCTCTCTCACACACACACACACACACAGTCTCTCACACTCTCCCCCCGACACACAGGTGTATTAGTGTTGGGGGGGGGTCGCTCCGGGCACCTACATTCTCTGTAATTTTAGTCTTTCGAAGTTCGCGAAGGATCGCAGGGCCGTTATTTTCGGTTTTCGACCGGTCTGTGCGTTTAATTCAATTTAATTCTTTGAGGGGTGGGGGCTAAAATGCCCAGCCTGTCCTGGCTGGAGTAATTATCGTCATTACTGTGATTACCGTGTTGTGCTTTGTCATTCATTATTTAAAACGGTACCAATAAGCGTATCCTTCTAGCCTGTACTCACCTTAGCAGGGCCAGTTAAGGAAAATTACCTAAGCACAAACCTTGTTGCAGCCGGTGAAGTGAGGTGTAGCTCCCGAAAGCTTTACGCTCAGATTGAACTCACAACCGTGGGTTGAGCAGGCCAGTGCTCAAACCACTGAGCTATCCCCTCCCCTCCTAAATTGGTTCGTCTCTAAGGGGCCACGAGTCCTCCTCTTCTTTTTACAAAACGGTAGACACTCTGCAGATGAAGGTCGCATATTTTCAAATTGTATTTTTAGGGACAGCTGTAAAGTAGCTTAACTTAAAATTTGTGTGAGAGCTGTTGGGCTACGTACGGGTTAACAGAGGAGGGCAGGTACGGTGTCACCCCTTGCCCGCTCCTGCAGCTTGTTGAGGATAGCTAAGCGATGCAGCTGCAAAAGCAATGTGGTGGTCTAAAGGAAACCCTTCCTGTGAAGAAGAGTTATCTCCCCCTCCCTTCCTTTCCCAGCTACATAAACCAGCTCGGGGTCATGGCCCCATCCCTGTGAACGGCCGATCAAGGGAATCTGTGGCTGCAATTACTGCAAAGACATGTGTCTTCAAAAATGTCTGTACGATATGCTTAATGCCGTAAACATAGAAGACCAGGGTTGGAAGGGACCTCAGGAGGTTATCTAGTCCAACCCCCTGCTCAAAGCCCAATCCCCAATTTTTGCCCCAGATCCCTAAATGGCCCCCTCAAGGATTGAACTCACAACCCTGGGTTTAGCTCAAACCACCGAGCTATCCCTCCCCCTAATAGGGGCTCATAGAATCCTATTCGGCTTATAGCTATGAATATTCATTATATGGGCATTCATATCACCCAAGAAGGGTTTGGGGAGTGTTGTAGTGAATATAAATATTTACATATTAAGTTAACTAAAAAAGTGTCATGCAATTAACTCAGGGCTTACTGGGTCGAGGGGAACAAGAACCGCAGTAAAGAAGCCAGTTTACTCAATCCGCCTCTGGTCCCCCTGCTCTTCTTCTAACAGAAGTAAATGCAGTGGGATATTAATACCAATGTTGGAGTGAACGGGGAGTGAGTCACGTACAGGATTGTGATCGGTAAACAAGTGCCAAAATAATTAGAAAACTAAATTCCCTTTCTCAATAAAAGAGAAAAAACCTTAGCCGCATATTGTTAGAATTCAGTAAAATAAATGTGATTTTTAGTGGAGTGAAAAACAATTTAAGAAGATTTTATTTAACTCTGCTAAAGACAGCGTACGACGTAGCAAACCTGTGTTTCTGAGATCTGCGTTAAAGCTCCAGACCTGATACTTCAAGGTTTGGGATTGGGAATATCTTGCTGTATAAGCTCCTGATTGCTCTAAATCAGGGGTTCTCAAATTGGGGGTCAGGACCCCTCAGGGGGTCGCGAGGTTATTACATGGGGGGTCGTGAGCTGTCAGCCTCCACCCCAAACCCGGCTTTGCCTCCAGCATTCGCAATGGTGTTAAATAAATTAAGAAGTGTTTTTAGTTTATAAGGGGTGGGTCGCACTCAGAGGCTTGCTGTGTGAAAGGGGTCACCAGTACAAAAGTTTGAGAACCACTGCTCTAAATTTACATAGAAGTTTAAAATGTGGCTTTAACTGGAGTTTGTATATATATATCTTTTTCTTTCTTTATCTTGGAATTAGATATAGGGCTCCTATCCACTAATTCCTAAATTGTAACTTCCGTTACTTGGGGTGTGGCTCATTCCCACCCCAGAGCGAAGTCCGTTATGCTGACGTACCCGGGAGCGTTGACAAGGTCTTGGTCAGTGTATAACAAAAGAGACCTTTTCATAAACGGGAAAGGGAACGACGCATTAGTTTGGGAAAATGCGACAGTCACATTCAAAAGCTTGCAACCGTAGGCAAAAACCCCACCCCACAGGGCATTGGGCAGTGTCCTTTGCCTCAGTTTCCCACCTGGCAGTGGGAAAGTCTGACACACAAATGCCCATTTAACACACCTCACCCCTGTCCCTCCATGGCACCCCACTCGCAATTGGCTGTACTTGGTCCGTGCAGACCCAGCGTTCAGAGGTGTGTTCGCAGGGCTTCACCTCAGAAGTCTCTGGGGTTGCTGTGCAGACCTGCCGTGCTCTGAGGATCCCCTGCTTAACCCAGGTGTTCAGTGATTTCAGCTCTTCGCGATTGCCCTGGGCAGCCGGGAACCTCACTGCCAGTACATCCGCTGCCTTGGCTTTCCTCGCACCCCTGTCCTGACGCCAGGTCTGGGACAGAACCCCGAGAGGCGCGTGCCAGGAATTCCGCTCTGCTAATCACTGAACAGAAACAAACTCTCCCTGGAGGGTAATTAGCTTTGCCTTCAAACACTGAACAGGGAAAGGTCAGAGCATATCTTCAGGCACAAGCCACCTCAGCAAACAGAAACACCTGTCATCCCCCCCTCTTTTCCCTGGCATTTAGCATCCCTCTCCCCCTGTTCAGCGAGTCAGGCTCAGTTTAGGGCGACCCCCTCAATCAGCTGTCTGCACTCCAGTAAAAGACAGAACCTCACCCCCCTAGCCCCTCCATCAGGGCAGGGTAAGTAATCTCTGCCGCCCTTTACTCATGCAATAAGGATAACAACATCTCAGTGATTTGTAACCCAGCACCAGACAAAACTAGCTATTTTGGCAAAGCAGCTCCACCGTGCTGTGTAGCTGCGGGTCTGTGCAAACTCGGTCTGTTCCTGACGTCTTTCCCCCAGCTCCTCACTAGGTGGGAGAGGGGGAGCTCATTCAGACCCTGCGCCCGCTAACATATTTAAAACTCCTCATTGGCCCTATTGCAGCCGGACTGAGATTTCTCCTTCTGTCCATTACTGGGCCACTCGGATGAGGTGGCCGAGTGGTTAAGGCGATGGACTGCTAATCCATTGTGCTCTGCACGCGTGGGTTCGAATCCCATCCTCGTCGGATGCATTTCGCCTTCTCTCTTCCTTTACAAGCAACCCTCTTCCCCCTTTGGTGCAGTTACAGACCAACCCATGTTTCTTCCCGCACATGAAAACCTTCCCAAGGTGTCAGACTGGCCTGCTGGATCCCTGCTTTAAGTAAAACCCACCAAAATATGAGATTTCTAAAAGACTTCTGTATTTCTTAGTTTTTATCTCAAAAGGTAACATCCTCATAATCTCCCCCCAACACCTGGGACCTCCCCCAATTATTAAAATGCCCCAGGCCTGTGGGTTGGGACTGAGGGGCAGTTTGCAGAGGAGGGGGGCTGTGGGTTGGGACTGAGGGGCACTGGGAATAGGAAGGCCCTGGGTTGAGGCTGAAAAGCATCCTGGTTTGGGGGTCCAGGTTGTGGGGAGTAAGGAGTTGAAGCAGTCGGTTCCCTTCAGTGCCTTTAGGTCAGCGAGACACCCGTACTGGTCCCAGTATGACCCCCCTCCCCCATACAGTCCCAGCAGGACCCCCCCATACCGGTCCGGCACTGGTCGCAGTGCATACGGCAGAACTGGTCCCTGTCCTGGAACCAGCATGCATGTCTTATTGGGACCATGCATGTCTTATTGGGACCGTTTCTGGGGTATGTTCTGGGACCGGCCCTGGGGCTAGTATGTGCGTCTTAGTGGGAGCAGTCCTGGGGCCTGTGTCACGGAGTTACAGGTTTACGAGCTCGGGGACTGCTCTGTCTGAGGCTTTGCCAGGACTCAGTGTGACGAAGTGGGACTGTTCTTAATGTTTCCTCTGAATAGTGTGGGGGTGCCTCAGTTTCCCCATGGCAGTTCTTAAGTATCTAGGGGGTGGAGTAAGGGTGTATGATCATTGCAGAGCCCTAGAGGGCAGGTGTGTGCAGGGGTCTGGACACAGAGAATGGCCGACACCCTGTTTCCTGGCAACTGATGGCCTGGGCCCTCCCCCCCTGCAAGGTGAGAGCTGAAGGGCTGGAGAACAAAGGAATCAGGTGACCACCTGGCCCGGGAAAGGAACAAAGCCCAGAGGAGGAGGGGCTGGAGGGAGTTTCAGTTTGGGGCTGGCTGGAGACATGGAGTGAAGGGCAGACGTGGTTGTCTGGCTCACTGCCCCCCAAAATGGACCCGGCTGAGGGGTCCCGTTCTCTGCACCTGCAAGCTCTGTTTTAGACCATGTTCCTGTCGTCTAATAAACCTTCTGTTTTACTGGCTGGCTGAGAGTCACGTCTGACTGCGAAGTTGGGGGGCAGGACCCTCTGGCTTCCCCAGGAGCCCCGCCTGAGCGGACTCGCTGTGGGAAGCGCACGGAGGGGCAGAGGATGCTGAATGCTCCAAGGTCAGACCCAGGAAGGGGGAAGCCGGGTGAGCTGTGTGTCCTGCAGACAGGCTGCTCACAGAAAGGCGACTGCCCCAGAGTCCTGACTGGCTTCATGGGGAGCAGTTCCAGAGCATCGCCCAGGGACTCCGTGACACTCAGGTGCACCGTGACTTCCCCTCCGGCCACGCTGTCACCGGGGCAAGGAGCCTGCTCGGCCTTGGCTTCTCCTGGGTTTGACCTTGGAGCAATCATCAGTCCACCCCTGTTCACCCCGTAAGCTCCACACTGCGAGTCCACCAGGAAGGGACAGCCGGGGAGGCCCTGCACCCCACTTCACAGTCAGACCTGACTCTCAGCCAGCATTGCAAAACAGAAGGTGTATTCGTCGACGGGAACACAGCATAGGACAGATCTTGCCAGCACAGAAATCAGGAACTTTCAGCAAAGTCCATCTTGGCGGGCAGGGGGTGCAGAGCCCCAGCCCTGCCCCCCGAGTCCCCAAACCCCAGACTGAACCAGTTCCAGCTGCCTGGCCTCAGCCACGCTGTTGCCCCTCCTCCTTCCTTTGTCTGTTTCCCAGGTCGGCAGGTCACCTGCTCTGCATTAACACCTGGCAGGGGAGATACTATGATCATGAAGAAAAAAGAACGGGGAGGACTTGTGGCACCTTAGAGACTAACACATGTATTTGAGCATAAGCTTTCGTGGGATAAAACCCACTTCATCAGATGCATGCAGTGGAAAATACAAGTAGGAAGATTATATATATACACACAGAGAACATGAAACAATGGGGGTCTCTTAACAATGGGGGTCTCTTAACGAGAGTGATCAGTTAAGGTGGGCTATTATCAGCAGGAGAAAAAAAAACCTTTTATAGTGATAATCAGGAGGGCCCATTTCCAACAGTTGACAAGAAGGTGTGAGTAACAGTAGGGGGGAAAATAAACAGGGGGAAATAGTTTTACTTTGTGTAATGACCCATCCACTCCCAGGCTTTATTCAAGCCTAATTTGATGGTGTCCAGTTTGCAAATTAATTCCAGTTCAGCAGTTTCTTGTTGGAGTCTGGTTTTGAAGTTTTTTTGTTGAAGAATTGCCACTTTTAGGTCTGTAATAGCTCACCTTAACTGATCACTCTCATTAGAGTGGGTATGGCAACACCCATTGTTTCATGTTCTCTGTGTATATCAAATCTTCCGACTGTATTTTCCACTGCATGCATCTGATGAAGTGGATTTTAGCCCTCGAAAGCTTATGCTCAAATAAATTGGTTAGTCTCTAAGGTGACACAAGTCCTCCTGTTCTTTTTACTGATACAGACTAACACGGCTGCTACTCTGAAACCTAGGATCATCAAGGTGGTTTTCCCAGGGTGAGGTTCATCCATTGCACAGCGGCTTCCCCTGCGATTTCCCCAAATGCAGGAAACTCGACTGCATAATTAACACCACTGGCTGATTCTTGCAGAGGTTGAGGCCTGGCCACCAGTTGCCAGGCTACAGAGCATTGGCCGGTCTCTGTCCCAGGCAGCTAGTCACACCCTGCCCTCTAGGGGTCGCTGCAATGATCACACACTCTTACCCCGCCACCCAAATACATAGGGGAAACTGAGGCACATATACACAGTAGTCAGAGAAAACATTCAGAACATTCCCACTTTGTCATATCTCTCCCCGCCTTTGAGACCAAACTGAGTGGGGTCACTTAACCGGTGACCTGGGGAAGGTCAGGACCCCCCGTCTCTCTGACAAAGCATCAGCTAGAACATTGGCCCTCCCCTTAACATGGACCACCTCCCTCTCGTAATCCCGGAGGACCAGACTCCATCTCAGCAGCTTGGCACTGGCCCCTTTCATTTGGTGCAACCACATCAGAGGCAAGTGGTCCACGTACACAGTAAAGAGCCGCCCAAATAGATCTGGCTGCACTTGTTAAAGAGCCCACCCCATGGCCAGACAGTCCTTCTCTCTGTCTCAGTACGGCTCCCCCGTGGTGACGTGGTACACGCAGAGGCTGTGAGCCCGGCTGGACCGGTTTACTACCTCGTTCTCCTCATTTAACTGTTTGACGACCTTAAAGGGCCCGTCCCAGGCCGCTTGTAGCTTATTCTTCCCAGAGGAGAATTAGGGGTTTGTGGGGCCCTGGGCCAGAGCAAGTGGGGGCCTTTCCCCACCCCTTCTGCCTGCAGTCCCCCCTCTTTCCATCCCCCAGTGCTCCTGCCAGGGAAATGGAGTTGGGGCCCAGGGGCTTGCCCTGCCCCATCCCCACCCACCCGGATCTCCTGCGTCTTGCAGAGGAGGTGGCCTGGCCATCAGCTGCCAGGCTACAGAGCGTTGGCCGGTCTCTGTCCCAGGCCGCCAGTCACTCCTGCCCTCTAGGGGTCGCTGCCATGATCATACACTCTTACCCCGCCACCCAAACACTTGAGTGACGCAGAGGGGAAACTGAGGCACGCGCACAGTAGTCTGAGAAAACATTAAGAACATTCCCACTGTGTCACAGTACGTACTGGGAGAAGCACTGGGACCAGTATTGGGGTCTAACTGTTACCAGTATGGGGGTCTTACCAGGACCAGTAGAGGGGTCTGACTGGGACCAGCACGGGGACCAGCACGGGGACCAGCACTGGGGTATATACTGGGACCAGTATGTGACTAATAACGTTGGAGTTCTGGCTGAAGCTTCTCTTGCACTCACAGCAGTCGGAGGGCCTCTTCCGCGTGTGGATTATTTTATGTCTAACGAGGTGTGGGCGCCGCGTGAAGGTTTTCCCGCACGCACGGCACTGATAGGGTCGCTCTCTGGTGCGGATTTTCTGATGTCTAATGAAGGTCGAACGGCTACGGACGTTTTTCCCACCCTCAGCGCCGGTGTTTTTTCTCTCTCCGGTGAGGATTCTGGGCTGGCCTGTGGTTCCCTTGAGGTCTTTGTGAGTTGCCCGACAATTAACGGATTTACCCGCCTTCTCCCCTGGCTGCTGCCTCGCTGGCCTGTGCTGACTCCCACGAGATTTTCCTTGCTCAAGACGTCTGGACACACGCCCTTTGGCTCGTTGCAATACCATCCTGTGCGGTTCCCCTTGCTCCGCGTCCATCTGCTGAAGAGTCTGCTCCCCGTTCTCACTCACCATCCCACCACCTGCTGGGATAGAGAGAGAAACCTCAGGAACTGGAACGGACAACCCACGTAAGTGTTGGGGAGATGGAAACAATCAGGAACTGAATTCCCCAAACTTTCCCCCATAGGGGAGAGAAAAGGGATCAATTCTGCTCCCACGTCCTATCCAAACACTCAGGAGGACAGGGAGGGAGCTACTGCCAGGTGTCAGTCAGGATGGGCAGGAAGCCATGAGCAATATCTGCCCTGAGGATACGGCACATGCTGGGGAAAATCCTGAACTGAGCGAGATCACAAGGTCTTTGTAGGGAATCGCAGATGGTTTAATTGTTCCTCACCTGGGCAGGCACCTCTCAGGATCCTTTGGTTTTCTGAGTCCTGTATATCTAGGACCCAGGGCTCTTCCCCTTGTTCCAGCTGGGAGATCACATCAGGTTTGGAAACTGGAAACCCTGCTCGGGGGAAAGAAAACAAGGGACATCAGGTGAATTCATGGGACACTTGCGAGAAAAAATATTGTTTTAACCCCAGGCCATTTTAAGGCAGTGAAAAACCAGGCCCAGCTCCCAAGTTACACAAAGGTGCTGGACACTCTGCCTTTGGGGGATTTAAGCATCCCCATCTCTCCTGTGACCACACAGGGCCAGACACTCATCCAACTCCTAAAACACAGCAAAGCTAATTCCATGTCCCAGGCAGTGATGACTCCAGATTGTGGGTAGGTCCCCCCTAGAAATGCTTTTTTCTGACATAGAGAGGACCAGAGACTAGGAGAGCTGGCAGAGGTGAGCATTGGCTGGTGGGGTTCAGCACAGTGAGGAAGAAGAGGGAGCGCAGAGGCCCCAGAATGCCGTATGTCAGAGATATTGTATGTCAGGAAAGCTCATTTTGAGGAAATAGGGACTCTAGTAAGTCAGGGGTAATGGAAGGGAGTATATGAATACCCCTCAGTGTGTGGATAACTCCAGTGAATTAGATTCTATATTTTAGGAGCAACAGACCCTGATTCCTCTGGAAAGGAGAAAGCGAGAAAGAAGAATCAGGCCCTGCGGCTTCAGGAGGGACCGACTCAGAGATGCCAGGAACCTGCCGGGAAGACAGACTGTGGCTGCTGCAGATGGAGAGGGGGTGAAGTGAGACCCTTTCAGTCCCCAGAAGTTTCCCTACCAACCGAGGACATCACTAGAAAGCACACGTGTGTGGCAGGGATGGAGCGTATGGTCTTTGCGAGGAACACGAGCTTTCAGCAAAGGTGCCTGGGCCACAGGGTGCAGGGAAGAGATGTGGCCCCGAGCCGTAGAGCGAGGAGAAGAGAATATAACATTTGAAAAAGGTACGTACACCAAAGTGAACCTGGACTGTCGTAAGAAGGGGCTGCAGGCTCTCTATCAATATGGCCTGGGCAGGGATTCTGTGTTTATGGTCTGGGATCCCCCATAGCTCCACATCCCCCAAACCTCACCTCCCCTATGTCCCACTGACCCCCGCCACAAACTTCCCAGGTCTCCCTTCGTCCAATTTCCCCAACCCCCCACCGAGACAGAGTTGGAGCTGCACTGTAATGTTGGTGAACGCTGTGGGTTGACCTGGATAGTAGCATATTAGTGGTGTGAATAATTCGGTTTAGGAAAACTAGCAGAAAGGGAAGGCGAATGGCTCACGCTGAGACACACCGGGGTGGTCCCTTGTTAAGCGACAGTGCCCGGAAAGACCTGGAAGGAGACAGACGTGTAGCTATGATACCAGGTCCCCTTCTCCCTACCAATCTCCGCCCTCCCACCTCCTGAGACTCCTTGTGTTCCTTCCTTCCTTCCCGTTACCCACAGCCCTGCCAACTCATGACCCAAACCTCCCTCTGCCAGGCCGCCCAGGCCCAGTGCCCAGACTCTTCCCATTATTACTGACTGTCAACTTCTCTGACGGTAGCTCCTTGTAGTCCCAGCTGTGGATCAGGGCCCCAGGGTGCCGGACATTTTACAAACACAGATCCCTGCCCGCAAAGGCTGACAATCTGAGAACGAGACGAGGGATAGGTGGGTACGGACAGACGAGGGAGTGCAAGGAAACACCGGGACGATTCATAGAAGATCAGGGTTGGAAGAGGAGGTCATCTAGTCCAACCCCCTGCTCAAAGCAGGACCGATCCCCAATTAAATCATCCCAGCCAGGGCTTTGTCAAGCCTGACCTTAAAAACTTCTAAGGAAGGAGATTCTACCACCTCCCTAGGTAACGCATTCCAGTGTTTCACCACCCTCCGAGTGAAGAAGTTTTTCCTAATATCCATCCTCGTTGGTCACCATGACGGGCAGTGGTCTTGGCACGCCAATAGTCTAGCCATTGTTATGTTTTTGTGGGCATCATGGAGAAGAAGAGTGTTAAGGAGGGATGGGAAGGAGGAGACCGAGGTCGTCTGTGGGATGTGCATGGGCAGCTCCCCCCGAAGCACAAGGAGCGACATGGGAGAAGGCACGAAGGGAACTGTTCGAAAAGGGAACGAGGGGGTGATGGAGGCTGGCGTCACGGGCTGTTCGGAGGTGGGAGTCAGAACAAGAGAGGACAGGTCAGGTGGGGACAGGCTGTGAGACGAGCAGCTTCTTTGCTGTGCCAGACCCTCAGAGAGCCAGTGGAGGGATTCAAAGAGAGGGCTCTGTGCTGGACCGATAGGGCGTTTCTCTTCGGACTGCCCCCGTTGGGGTAGGTAAGGGTTCAGTAAACAGCTGGGTACCTGGTATTAGGGAGTAAGGCATCCGCACAGACACGGACCATTGATAGCTACAGAGCCACCCTGCCTCCGGTCACGGCTGCCCGTGGCGGTCCCACCTGGGGCCCGCTCAGCCGTCTGGTGGGACACGAGCGAGGGGTCTCCAGGGCTCAGGGAGGGCTGGTGAAGGAATGGCTCAGAGGGAAGGTGAAGGGAGGGGAACATTTTGCACGTCTGTGGTGGTGCGTGTGGAACAGGCTCCGTGTCAGAGCGACGGCAGCTTCCGTTCCCCACGCCAGACGCGAGCCCGGGCGTGAGACTTTGTGCTATTCCGCTCCTGGGCTCTGTTCCCAGTGCTGTGGGGCAGGGCAGGGCACAGGGCTGGGGCGTGTGTCCCTGGCATGTTGGGGCGTTGCTGAGACAGGGCAGAGTTAAGGTTACACTGTGGGGGTGACGTGAACCTTAACTCCTCATTTCCGCCTTCCAAGAACTGCGGGGACGGGAATCCTTACCCAGCGAGGTCACATTCTCGTAGTTCTCCTGCATGACGTCTCTGTAGAGGGCTCTCTGAGCGGGGTCCAGCAGAGCCCCCTCTTCCCTGGTGAAATACACAGCCACCTCCTCGAAGGTCACCGGCCCCTGAAAGAGCAAGAGCCCCCCGCTCAGGACCTGCTGCCCCACTCACAGCCCCACTAGTCACCGGGGAGCAGGGCCAACTCAATGCAAACTCTGGGAGGCTCACAGTCAGCAGGGTCCCACCCCCAGCCTGCTCAGAGCAGCCAGGAGGCATCGGGGTGAGGGGAGAAAGAGAGAGACCCTCACCCCCCCCCAGCAGAGAGAGGGAAACAGGCTGTGACAAAGTGGGGGTTTATTCACCTGGTTATGTTGCATGAGAGTCTTACTGTCCTATACTAACACTCTGCGTTCCTCAGTTTCCCTTGTGTACTGCACCAACACGTCGGTGGTGGGAATCGGGTGTGTGGTTTTTGCTGAGGCCCTCGGGGCCGGTGGTGAGTTTGCCCAGCTGTCTGCATGTAGGTGATGGCCGGTGCCCTTCGTAACCTGAGCCCCAGGACAGGGATGTGACCAGGTGACACCTTTTGCCCCGGAAGGTGAGACAAAGAGAAGGAGGGGGGCATGAGGGGGGTGTCGGAGATCGGGTCGCGGGAAGCGGGCAATCTGCGTGGGGGGACTGGAAGAGGGGGAGTCCAGGGCATCTGGCCCAGGACTCCCAAGATGGACTTGGCTGAAAGTCACTGATTTCTGTGCTAACAAGCTCTGTTCTACGCTGTGTTCCTGTCGTCTAATAAACCTCTGTTTTCCCGGCTGGCTGAGAGTCCCGTCTGACTGCGGAGTTGGGGGGCAGGACCCTCTGGCTTCCCCAGGACCCCGCCTGGGCGGACTGGCTGGGGGAAGCGCACGGAGGGGCAGGGGAGGCTGAAGGCTCCGAGGTCAGACCCAGGAAGGTGGAGCCGGGTGAGCTTCTTGCCCTGAAGACAGGCTGCTCCCAGAGAGGAGGCTCCCCCAGAGTCCTGGCAGGCTCCGGGAGGGTGTTCGGGTGCGGGAGGAGCTCAGGGCTGGCGTTGGGGTTGGGGTGTGGGAGGGGGTATGGGGTGCAGGCTCCAGGAGGAAGTTTGGGTGTGGGAGGAGGTTCTGAGCTCGGGCAGGGGGTTGGGGTGCAGGAGGGGATGCGGGCTCCAAGAAGGAGTTCGGGTGTGGGAGGGGGCTCCAGGCTGGGGCACAGGGGAGCGGGCTCTGGGTGGCACTCACCTCAGGGGGCTCCCTCGGTTCCTAGGCGGAGGCGCAGCCAGGTGGCTCTGCACAGTGCGCACTGACTCCACCCACAGGCGGTTCCCGGCCAATGGGAACTGCGGAGCCGGCGCACGGGGCGGGGTCAGCGCGTGAAGCCTCCCTGGCCACCTCTGCCCCTCAGAGCCACAGGGACATGTCTCCGCTTCCGGGAGCTGCGTGGAGCCAGGTAGGGAGCCTACCAGCCCCGCCAA